ACATTTAAAAAACTGGGATGTTTAGAAATGTTCTTAAATAAAATAAATTTGCTGGGATGTTGTCATCAGTAATATGACCATTTGTTCTTTTTGTATTTTTGCATTGCAATATATTTATCACTTGTATGAATATATACAGTGGGTACGGAAAGTATTCAGACCCCCTTAAATTTTTCACTCTTTGTTATATTGCAGCCATTTGCTAAAATCATTTAAGTTAATTTTTTTTCCTCATTAATGTACACACAGCACCCCATATTGACAGAAAAACACAGAATTGTTGACATCTTTGCAGATTTATTAAAAAAGAAAAACAGAAATATCACATGGTCCTAAGTATTCACACCCTTTGCTCAGTATTTAGTAGAACCACCCTTTTGATCTAATACAGCCATGAGTCTTTTTGGAAAAGATGCAACAAGTTTTTCACACCTGGAATTGGGGATCCTCTGCCATTCCTCCTTGCAGATCCTCTCCAGTTCTGTCAGGTTGGATGGTAAACGTTGGTGGACAGCATAAACTAATATTTCACGGGTAGGTTGCAGAATTTATGCCTACACAAAAGAAAGCTCTGTCTAGGCTCTGCCTCGATATGGTTTGTGTCAAGCCATTCGTTAATCTGGCTGTTTGATACCGAGAAAGAGATAAAATGAAGTAGAAATAAACACGTTAAGAATCCGTAGAAGCGGAGGACTCTTATTCTGTTTTTTAGGACTATTAAATGTTTGGTTGGCCAATCAGCGGAGAGGGGCGTTTCATTCCCGCCCACATGTAGAGATCGAATATTCAAGTTGCTTATTCGTTTTCTCTCTTAATTTAACTAAGGCCTAGTCCTGGCTTAAGCTAAGCCTCGTTTGTGAAACCGGGTCTACATGTTTGAAGTGCAAACTCAAATCTTTACAACAAATCTTTACTTGACAAAACTAATTGTCAAGGGGAAAGAAGCTTTACAGCATATGTATGCTTTCACTGTTTTGCTTAGAAACACTAACATGGAAACACTACCATATGCACATAGATGTGCATAGAAGCTTAACATATCATGCATAAAACATCTAACAAATTAAAACTGCTTTCCTGCATTGCAATTAAGAATGCATATCATAAGTAACGCTAATTTTTTTCATAATTCATCACTGTTGGTCACCCTTTATGTTTGTCTTTGGGAGCTGTTGGTCTTGACTGCACATATTTCACTCATTCCCTGACTGCAGCATCCCACTCAAATAGCAGCTCTCAGATGAGCTGATCTTCTCTGAAAAAGACCTTAGTGGAGTGAAAAATGATGATGCTGATGATTTCAACCTTCTAGAAGACGTGATAAAACAAGAACTTACTGCTATAATGTCTGACAACAGCAGTAGATTCAGCACAGAGACACGTTCAGTAAGTCTTGACTATAAGTTCTGGCCAGATGAGCTTCTGATTGATCCCTTCTGTCAGTGCTGTTGGATTCATTGTCCGTTCTGTGGAGCCATCTGCACCAACACCAGAGAAAACCATCCCAGAGATCATGGTGTTGCTTCCCACAGAGTGATTGGAATTAATGGCACATGTTTCAATTCAACACAGAATCTCTGTGCTTATATTTGTACAAATTTTGTGGAATATGATTTGAATTTTAATACACCAAACGGAAGGTTTATTTGGAAAGAAATGAAAATAGCAGGACCCCGATTTAACATCTGGAGCATCACCCCTGACTTCTCTGAAATGCCCTACTGGAAGTGGTTTTTGTGCAGTTTCCAGAAAGATCTGGAAACATACTACAATAAAACATTTGAGGGACTGGGTAAGATACCAGATTAATTGAGAAAATACTCAAAGCAGGAAGCTATTGAGAGTTTAGATCAATACATCTAATGGAGCAGATACAGAAAAAGACTCCTACGTTTCCTCTTAGATTATCCTCTGATCACAGTCAGAAATGAGTTTCTCTTACATTCATCAGATAAAGTCTGCGCTCATCTACACCTCACTGAGAACTGAGTACACTGGATACAAGCAGAAAAAATGTCTGAAAGTACTTAATCAGTATTATCTAAATTGGACATTTAGACAGTGTATTAAAGAATTTTATGCAACATTTATGAAAACTGAATTGGTATTGTGCTGTATTTTATAGATTTGTATTTTTAAGCAGCAGATTTGTTCTGTATTTTTATAGATCAAATAATCTACTATTTTTAGATTAGTCAATGAGTTATTTTTTCTTACAAATTTTATTTCTGGTACGTGTGAAGTCAATAACTGTTGAAAATAACCAGCTTGTGAGAAGAGAGAACTGTGTTCCGATTGACAGGGTCCACAGTCGATTGGAATTAATGGCACATGTTTCAATTCAACACAGAATCTCTGTGCTTATATTTGTACAAATTTTGTGGAATATGATTTGAATTTTAATACACCAAACGGAAGGTTTATTTGGAAAGAAATGAAAATAGCAGGACCCCGATTTAACATCTGGAGCATCACCCCTGACTTCTCTGAAATGCCCTACTGGAAGTGGTTTTTGTGCAGTTTCCAGAAAGATCTGGAAACATACTACAATAAAACATTTGAGGGACTGGGTAAGATACCAGATTAATTGAGAAAATACTCAAAGCAGGAAGCTATTGAGAGTTTAGATCAATACATCTAATGGAGCAGATACAGAAAAAGACTCCTACGTTTCCTCTTAGATTATCCTCTGATCACAGTCAGAAATGAGTTTCTCTTACATTCATCAGATAAAGTCTGCGCTCATCTACACCTCACTGAGAACTGAGTACACTGGATACAAGCAGAAAAAATGTCTGAAAGTACTTAATCAGTATTATCTAAATTGGACATTTAGACAGTGTATTAAAGAATTTTATGCAACATTTATGAAAACTGAATTGGTATTGTGCTGTATTTTATAGATTTGTATTTTTAAGCAGCAGATTTGTTCTGTATTTTTATAGATCAAATAATCTACTATTTTTAGATTAGTCAATGAGTTATTTTTTCTTACAAATTTTATTTCTGGTACGTGTGAAGTCAATAACTGTTGAAAATAACCAGCTTGTGAGAAGAGAGAACTGTGTTCCGATTGACAGGGTCCACAGTCTTCATTGCTCCCTACTGCCTAAGCACAGGAAACCCTTTGAAGTTTACTTCACTTCAGAGCATTAATTCACAGATTGTGCTACGCCACTGCCTGCAGAAGAAGTGTGACATCATATAACTCTGTAAATAAATACTATTTAAATTCACGTCTCATACACTTTAATGCCCTTTAAATGGAACATGTACGCTCCCTTCGAACTGGAAGCATGGCAGAATATCCTGTGATGTCCACTTCGCAGGGCACTTACAGACGAATGGAACAAATGTCTGAAGTATGAGAGATACATACAAAATGTGCAGAGCGGGGGGATCGTGAAGACTGGAACAAGAAAAGCACCCAACTGTATTCATATGCAATCAAATTTAGTAAAATTACACACGCAAAAAAACAAAAAAAACAAATTCTATTTAAAGGGTTAGTTCACCCAAAAATGAAAATTTTGTCATTAATTACTCACCCTCGTGTTGTTCGAAACCCGTAAGACCTTCGTTCATCTTCGGAACACAATTTAAGATATTTTTGATGAAATATGAGGGCTGTCTGACCCTCCCATAGACAGCAAGGTAACTACCACGTTCAAGGTCCAGAAAAGTACCAAGATGATCGACAAAGTAGTCCGTGTGACATCAGTGGTTCAACTGTAAAGTTCAGAAGCTATGATAATACTTTTTTTGCGCAAAGAAAACAAAAATAACGACTTTATTCCGCAGCTTCATCTCTACTGTGTCACTTGTGGATGCGCGTTCACGTCATTACGCTGGATCTGGGTCAGCGCCGCCACACGCTCACGTCATGGTACTGTCGTGAACGCACGTCTGTGGAATAAAGTCTTTTTTTTTTATTGAACTTTTGATATTAGTAATGCATGCTTAAAAAAGTTAATTTGAAGGATAAATGTAAAATAATGCCTTTCTTTATTTGATTGCAGTAAATAAAAAAATGTTTCAAATCCACTTCTTGATTTGTTGCCTCAACTCCAACTAAATCTTCATAATATCACTTACAACTCATGTGTGTACGTGATGCATTGCTGCATGCTAGCTTGGAAGATAGAAAAACTTACATTTAGCATCTGGAAATATTTCCTTTACTTTGATTTCGTTGTGATAAAAGATGACAGGAACATCATTATCAAATGTAAGCAGCATTATGCACTCTTTAATTACAAGGCTTGCCCACCCACATCCCTTTGATTTTGACACATTATAACCACCTATTATCAAAGTCTTTCTATAAAATTTAATAAAATAATTTTTTTACGATCTTACATAAATTGTTTGACAACAGACATCATGAAATATAATCACAAATGTGCAAAAGGTGCATTATATCTAATTAGCATCATGCTACACATTACAATTTATTTGATCAATATGCTTTTTCTTAAAACTCACTGTAAACGACAATCAAGTGTTTTTAATAACTTCCAATTGTGATCTAATATGGATTCTGATCATATAACAAGGCAGACATATGCTATTTGTAGCATTTTAGAATAAGCTTATTGCAACAACTGTTTAGCATTTATCATGGTAAACATCTGTTGTTGTTGTTGTTGTTATGTTAATACCCCACATCGCATAAAAATCACATACAAATCCTGTCCAGTTTTGTATGGAAGCCCATTTCCACCACTGAATAAAAATTAAAAAAGGTAATTGTGACATTTTATCTCACAATTCTGACTTTTTTCCCTTCACTATTGCGAGTGATATACATCTCACAATTCTGCAATAGGTTACAGATTACAAGTTACCCTATTTAAAATGTAATATTTAGTGTAACTATTTCAATTACTTTATGTTAGTCATTATCACCAATTGTAAAATGACAATGGTTCACATTTCCCATAATAATAACATTGAGTAAATATTAAATAACGCTGTGAATCAATAAATTAATGAATGATTAAGTAAATTAATAAAAGAGGAGTCAGAGTATATAGACGTGCAGTTGGCTTGGAAGACGTTAACATATGTTTTGTCCATTCTGCAATGTGAACTGGAGGTAAGCAGCAGTATACTAAATTGCAGCTATTTGATAGCGACTGAACTTATAAAGATCTTCCTCTTTTCGTTTTCTTTCTTGCTACATTAAAGATGAAATGGTTTAATTTCTGTTTTTGTGCAGGCGCGGTGAGGGAAAAAGCACTGAGTTCAGGGCAATCGGTTCGTAGCTCTGCTTCAACTGTGCGATACTCTTACGAGAGGCGACCACAATTTAATGTCGCAAAGTTTAGAGTCGCACGAGTCAGAATTCGGCTCAAAATCGGGCAGTGTATGCCGGTCAGGCCAGATAAACTCAGTAAGTAAAGCTGATGAGGGAAGGGTTATTATAATGAAGATTTTTATTTATTTATTTTTACAGTTAAAATCATTAAGTGGACTGAAATGATCTGATCTAATCTGTTGTCTAACAGTGATTTGAGAGTGTGTCTGTACTGCTGGATATCAGTCATGTGATCAGATATCAGTCACATGATCAGCTGCGGCCCAATCACAGCCATACTGATATTCAGATCAACAGCACTCTTACTCGTGTGATATGGATTAAATATTGAAAACTTGATGAAAGCAGGAAGATCTAGACCTACAGTTGTAACGATTACTGAATATTCAGTGGTAAAATCCTCAGAGGGAATAAACTATAACAACAGAAGAATGGAAAGACAGTGTCAGTGAAGGTGGTTGCGTATGTGTGTAGATGTGTGTTAGTTACAGGATCAGAGAATGACACTGTTCCTCCATCATAGTCCAGATATACTCTCACATGCTTAAGGTTCTGCTCAAGATGAAAACCAGACCTTACAGAAGAACCATGCTCCACACTCCAGACATCACTGTCAAAGAAATCGCATCCCTTCCTTTGGTTAGATGCAGTAGTTACTCCAAGACTCCAGCATCGACTCTCTTTAACCTCCACATCCCAGCTGTTTGTTCCTGAGTTAAAACCCTCTGAGCCCAGAACACAAGAATAATAGTCAAATCTCTCTGGATTATGAGGAAGCGGTTGTTTGTTCCCATATCTCACACTGGTCAGATCATCAGACAGGACGAGCCATGGATTTGTAGTTTTTGGATCCAGAATCACAGGAGCTGATGAGACACAATCAACAGCTGCTTTTAAACTGACGTTCATATAATGATCAAGAGTGAACCCAAACACAGATTATTATAATTATGACACTCATCCTATTGATCAAACATATCAGACATCTTTAAACCTATCCAGCCATGCATCATTTCCAGTGCATGTGTAAGAACACAGATCTTCTCCAGACTCACTGTTTTGGACGATGTCCTGCATCTTCTTCCAGACTCTGAAGGGCAGGTTGCCCAAGTAACG